GTATGTTGTGAATTGGCCTTTTACACTTTACAGTAATTTCAATTTTTTTTTAAATCAAGTTTGCCCTCTACTGTGTATATGTATACTGTCTACATTCTGAAGAGTTTTATCTACAGTAAAATTCATGCCTTTGTCCATAAAAAAGAAAAGAATGAGTTTACACAACTCTCAGCGTCATGCCTCGTGAAATATAATCGTAGATTCCCCCGTGGGTGAGCGACACTGTAAATTGGAACCTCGAGAATTGATTATTGTGTGGAATAGCAAATGGGTTTTTTGTCTGTCACTCTGTGTTCTGGGCGTCTTTGCCAATCAGCAGGTTTCTGCAAATTGTGCAATGAAATTAGCGTTGGCTGTGGTTGTTCACGTGTATACTTTGTTTTGGTGGGCATTGAACTTAATTTCTCAAGGATTCAATTTGGATGGTGAAAATTGTAGGGAATACAGAAAGGGACGTACAAGTAAAGCTCCCTGAAATGTCAAAGAATTATGAAGTACTCTGAAGTATACCGGTAATGTACCATTAGGGCAGTTTTAATTCTTGTCCATTGACAAGGAATATCCACACTGTTTAGCCTGCTGAAAAACAGTGGTATACAGGACTTGTCTGCTTTACTGTGACTGTCTCACTACACACAAATTTATAACTTTCACTTATAATGTTGAGCTGGCCAGAAATAAACAGATAGTTGGTTTCCTCTACGTGAACATGGGAAGCCGATGTGGCATAGGGCTGTGCGGAATATCCGAATATTCGATCAAATATTACATTCAAAATTTGGATATTTGAAGTAAAAATTCGTGAAAAGGAAGGGAGAATTTTCTTTTGTTTAAAATGAGAAAAGTTGCACTGTGGAGGCTGGTTCCAAGTAGATTCTAATGAAAAGTGACCGAAATCTTTCAATAATTCAAAAAAGAAATTATTCATCAAAAAATTTAAAAGGAATAGAAACTTTCAACAGGACAAGAAGTATTGTTTGTCTCTTCAATTTTTCTAAATGGTGGCTAGAAATACTCCTACATGTAGGAGGCTATTGTGGTGATAAAAATGTACAGGTGTGTGTGTTATTGCAACTGATTTTGTAATATGGTTTGCTCATCAACAATCTGCCGTTTGGTACAATGGAATATTCAGATATTCAATCAAATTGAAGGTTGAATATTCAAATAGTGAATTATTTGAATTGACTCAGCCCTAATGTGCAGGGCGAAATCACAGTTGTCAATACACATTTGCCTTACCTTCATTGTATGTTAGTACCTAGTGCAGTCATTCCTTTCTTCTTATTTAGTCAAGAAAACTTGGTGAAATTGCTCATGTTTCTTACACATGATCACTATCTTAAGCCGTTGTTTGTGTTAATGGTTTCTTGAACTTTTTCTCTTCTTATTGCTTAA